AGCTACATATTCAAAAATTTATTTCCCATCGTTTTGACATCGAATGAAAGAACGTCATTGAAAACCTTTGTATCCAAATCATCCACGAAATCTAACTTGTCAGTAGGACATTATGAAGGTAGTACTGGATACAACTTGAAAGAGTTTTTTGAAAAGCCCCTCATTTATATGGTCAGCAAAATCAATGAATGATCAGTATTATACTTAAATGGTCAATTATTAAAATATCTAGGCCTGTGAATATGTTTCAAAATCAGTATATTGAATTAAAGGGTCTATATGAAAATTGAAATGTGTTATAATGTGATTCACTTGCTTTCTTCTTTTTCGAGTGGGGTGGGTTGGTGAGGATGGGTGAGAGTGAGGGTAGGTGAGAGTGAGAGTCTCCTTTTCACCCTCACCCATTCATCCTAAAACTTATTTTTTCTGCTGATAAAATCTCTATTTCTGCTGATCAAATTTTAAAATTTTACGGAACGATTTTGAATTTTTTACTAATCATTCAATGTTTCTACTGACCACTTGCATATTTTCCACTGTTCAAAAATTATGTTCGCTTTTGAAAGAGAGTTTTTCTTGTTTAATCTGTTTAGCTATTATTTAACCATTTTCGCCGAACTAACTTGCGAGAACCTGTTCGAACCATGTATTATTCGATAGACTGAATATCGCATTGAGTTAGGGCAGATGGATGAGGATAATGTCTTGTCTGCACCCTCACCCGTGGCGTAGCCAGGAAGGGGTCCGCAGTGTCCGGACACCTCCCCTCGGAAAAAAATGTCTGAAAGGAGGTATAGAACTAAAAATTTGTTCTCACGGTAAAGAATTTCTTTCTGCTGACGGCATTCCTCTTAGAAAATTTCTGACTACATTCTTGCCCTTACCCTCACCTTCAAGATAGTTATAACGGCCTACTTCATGTATCAATTAGATCTTCGATTGCAACGATTTTCCACGCTATCAAACAAGGTATTACACCGTTATGACGTATGTATTATCTGGCTGGACTCACAGATGGATCCACATGATGAACATACACAGCTGTTACTTCTTCATTTGAACGATTCTGTGGAATTTTTTAACGACATTGGCCCATGTCTCAACAGACTTTATCAATGTCTAGAGAAGGTTCTCTTCATTGTATCGGGCACCTATGTTAAAACATGCTTGCAATCCATTCACTCTCTTTGTGCCATCGATACTATTTTTATTTATTGTGCTTCACCGAACAAGTATCAAGATTTATTGAACGGGACCTATTACAAAGTCTTGGCGTGTATCGATACGGAAGACGAGTTAGTTGATCGTGTTCGTTTATGGGTCAATCAGAAACATCGAACTCATTTTTATGTATGGTGTCAATCGAACGATTCGTTGAAGTCATTGTCGCGCAGATCAGCTCTTTTTCTTGCCAACTTTATTCTAGCAAATGATATTCCATTTGAAATGTGTGAAGATAGGAAGCAAAACCTATTGGATTTCTGTCGAACTCGCTACAAACAAAATCAGCACGAATTAAACTGTATAACTGAATTCGAGTTGACATATACAGCATCGGAAGCTATTCGATGGTATACTCGCGATTCATTTCTTTATAGAATGATAAATCGAGCATTGCGTTCGTTCGATGAAATGCAGTTATATACAATAGCTTTCTATATTCGTGATCTGCGAAAACAACTTCGCTCATTACATGCGATGCAGTCATGGTTGGGTAAGACAGTTGTCTATCATGGTTCGATAATGAAAAGAGAAGAGATTGAGCGAATTTCCACGTTTTCCATCGGTTCATGGATTTCTGCAAATCGATTTCTTTCTACCAGTCGAACGCGAGACATTGCGATATTTTACGCCAAAGAAGACTTCGATGTCAAAAATCAATCATTTTGCAGTGTTCTATTTGAGATTGAAATTGATGTTCATCATTCACCTATTATCTATGCCGATATTTCCTCCATGAGTCAGTTTCCAGAAGAAAATGAAGTGCTCTTCGATTTAGGGAGCACATTCCGCGTACTCGATGTTCGACACGATGATCAATTATCAATCTCGATTATTCGATTGATGTTACCCACTCAAAATGCTTATGATTCAATGCAGAGAATATTAACATCCGTTCAACGTCAGCTAGAAGAATGCACTAATAATTCTCATCCAATGGAGTTCATTCGAAAACTACTGATAATGAGTGAAAACGAGGACATGATTGGTACACATGATAAACATCAATTGACATCTCCAAAGGTTCGATCCCTAAGGAATTATTGCAGTTGGCGAGAGTCACCAAACAGATCCAAGCCTTCCTACGAAGAATATCGTCCATCTATTGCTAAACATGTTGCTAATCGCTTCCACAATGAGTCAAGTAAGTAGCAACTAAATCAAGAATAGCAAAACCATTGCAGAGTTTTGTCTATACTTCATTTTTGTGGAAGACCTTTCAGTGAACATGAATACGTAAATCTATATCGAGTATCTTCTTTCTGACTAATCATTATTTCTGAGCTGATATTGTTGAAAAACAGATCTTACATTCTTTTTTGCCTTAGATCGCTGCTATGAAACGAATTTTTCAACAGTATCCAACGTCTCTACATTTTTTGTCGATGACTACCATTCTTCCTTGTCACATGAACCTATTCTTTATTTTCATCTGGATGCCAAATTGATGCAACAAGAGCGCGATCATCTGTCGTCACAGTTTAGTCAGCAACACCGTCGTTTCATTATGAAAGATCTTTCTATCCATGAGATCAATGCTATTCTCGGTGAATTTCAGTCGATTTTCTATATTTCATCGACATGTCCTTCGTACATGCGCAAATGTCCTCGAATTCGATATTATGAGACTAATTTCTCATCAGAAACAAGCAAAACGATCAATCGACTTCGTCACGATCTTGCTGTATTCTATCGTCATGAAGCAGAACGACTTTTGGATGAAGAGAATGATACAAGCGTAGCCAAAAGGCTATATGAAAAATCTGCTAAATGCTATGAACTACTGGCCAAAGACGCTCAAGAAACAGCAAAACAGTATGCTCAAATGCAAAATGCTGAGTCGTTGTGACATGAATTGATCCCTATCGAACGGTTAGAGTTTGAGATATTCGTCCTTCATGTCGCTTTAGAAGCAATCTAACAAAAAATACTTAACAAGCCAATCATCTTATCGTTTGTAGTTGACGTCTTAAGACAGGACATCGGATGATGAGTGTTTCGTTCCACTAATCAGTACGAGTCTTTGTCTGTAGATGTTAGAGTAAACCTTTTTGAGTCCTCGCCTTTTATTGTTTGATTGATTTTGGCATAACGTGTCACTGTTGTTTATCATATCTGTAAGAAATCATTCATCATATCGTTTCAAGTTTTTAACATCAAAATTTATAGATTACCTAGTTTTTTTCATTGTAGATAGTTATGATAAAAATAGGATGACTCTTTCTGTCACCTGAGTGTAGAAATTCAAGATGACGAGTGAGGTAAGTGTCTCAACCCAAACATACACAACAACCAAAAAATAATCTTTTCAATCTTGTAGCAGGGAATACAATTTGGTACGGTGATTCCTCCGCATTTACTTGACAATGAGCCTTGTCTAATGGTCTATGATCCAGATCACTTCATTATGAACCATGAACAGAATCTGTATCCATTTTTTAATATCACTATGCTTCATGATAACTGGTCAAATTTGGTGAATGAGTACAATGCAATACCTCACAGACGAGGCATTTTTCTTCTATTGTTACCGAATCTTACTGTCATGCAAATAATTGGGTTTGTCGATAATCATGTCATCAATCAACCACGATTACATTCATTTTACCTTATTTTTACGAACGGTGCTCAATTTCACAATCAATTAGTTGCTCAGTATTCCCCCACACTTCAATGGTGTCGCTCGTTTACCCAAAGGTCACTTCACCATATTCAGTCGGTCTGTGCAACAATGTGTGATTTTCGAATACATTTTTACGAGCAAAGAGAAATCGAAATCGAAGGTGGTCATTATCATAATCCAGATTACAATGTAGCGAGTATTTTAGCATTGCTCTCAAATCTTAAAGCTCAAATTTATCAACTTCTGACTATTCATGCTTCTCAAAGATCTCAAGAGACGAGATTATAGCATGAAATGTGAACATTCCTGATCTGAGTCTGATCGCCAATCATCAAGAAGCACAACATCATGAAATTCACGATGGTACCCGTGTAAAAATGTTAGCTCGAAAAAGTAACTATTAAGCACTTTCAAAAGTAGTTTTTGAACAGAAAGAAGTGTTTATAAGTGAATATTTTTGAGTATTGTTCATACATTTTTACCAAACAATACTATTAAGTACTTTTAATATTAATACAGAAAAATAAATTAATTTCTACCTTTTCCCACTTTTAGTGATTTTCGTTACTCTTTCGCACTTTATGCAGTACTTAATAGTACTTTTTAGTAAAAAAACGTATGAACAGTGCTTAAAAGTTTTCACGTATAGATACCTGTTTCGGCTCAAGAACTACTTTTCAAAGTACTTAATAGTCGCTTTTTGAAGCTAAATTTTTACATGAGTATTCAGTGAGTAGCCGCTAGATGCGAATATTGAAGAGCAAGGTTGTTGACGGGGTATGGATGAGGTCGGAATGTCAACGGACGAAGAAGAATGCTGATAGTACACCAATAATACGGCTGTTTCCTTAGCAATTTTCTTGTTCAACATTTTGTATTTCGATATTTTTCATTAAGTTGATATTTCATGTGATCACTTTGGATACACGATTCAAATATGACTTTGAACATACTCAAGAGCTTTTTGCTTATTGCACTCCTCTTGTTCACACGATAGTGATAAGACGTACTTTTCTCTTTACACTTCAAGTACATATACGATCTGTATATGCGCACGTATTGAGTCACGTGAAGACTGATTCACTATATTAAAATATAAAAAATTATATAATTTGTAATAAAAAGATTGATAATGAGTTATGAAACATATAGAAACATGTCTACAATTCAGAAAGATCTTATCTGTGAAGGATTTGAAATTCAACAGAAAATACAACAACATAATGATAACGAAAAAAACAGAACACCATCATCAACTTTAAAACGTCATCCTACAAATCACAGTCAACGTAAAGATGATCAATATACAGATGAATATCAGGATGATGACATGGAATTTCAACAAATAAATTATAATAGGCAAAGAAAAAAACGAATTAATAAGGACAAGGATCAACGAATTCATGCACGAATGATAATTAATTCAACTATTAACCATAATAGGAACTTACAAACAACAGCAACAAATAATAATATTATTAAAGATAATTTAGTTCGAATATCCAAGCACGCATTAGATTATGCATCTGAATATCATCATCAACCGATTAAAATTGAAAGTGATCCAAAATTAAACGATTAATGTGAAGGATCAAAATTTATTCAAGCATTTATTAACCATATTAAAATTACTGTTTTCAATCAGAGATGGGCAGCTCCGACGTTTTCTCGCTCCAGCTTCGCTCTAGCGAAATTTTTTTTTTCCTTTTTTCCTTGAAGTTTGGGGTAGTTCCACCGGAAATCTCCCACCGTTACAGTGACCTCGAGCAGCCTAGCTGAAACTTTTACCAGTTGATGGTCTTACTACCCTAAGGTCTATGATAAAAAAATCCCCGGTTCATCTCATTGGCATCATATTTTTTTTCGAGCCACAAAATCCTATGGTTTCACCTATAGACATTATTTTCGTCATTTTCGTCATTTTGTGGTCCGTGTATTTTTCTGTAACTAAAAAGCATCAATTCATTCCTATATATTAGTATGAAGTACTAAGTTGGTAGTTTCAAGATATAATGATACTAGCTCATCCATATCACGGATATGCCAATTCTTCCTAGTCGACATTATGCAAAAAGTGAAAAAGTAGCAAAAATAGTCTATTTTGTGATACACTTTTCCACATTATAATACTCTTATTAACCATCGATTTTATTCATATTATAAAAGAATATGTCTTCTCTATTTAATGATATAAGAACCATCGATGCAACTGTTTTTATTGGTCAGTGAAAAGCAATAGTGTTTAGCCTATAAATCCTCACAATGAAAAAATCGCACATTGTGGTAAGCATTTCTTGCACATGCAGAGTTTTGCAGAATTCTAAATACTATGGAGGCGCAGTACTAACCCTATCCTATATGCTAATATACCCAGTTCATCTGTCGACTTACGCCATCGTGCAAAAGAACGAAGTGAAAATGCCCATTTTTCACCTAGAATGAGCCATCGAGTTCATCACCTGAATCATCGAAGATATATGCAATCCAGATGAAATTTACAGTATTTGTAGAGCTATCATGCCTATATATGCTAATAAAAATAAGTGATAGAAATTTTTTGTTGTAATGAAAAAAAACCCAAAATACCTAAAATATGACTAGCTATAATGCCTGGGGGTCCCCAATCTGGAGTATCTGGAGAACGGCTCATCCAGGATTTCTGAAACTTTCAGAGCTGATACATCTTGAAGAGTAGAGTAAAAGTTGTGCTAGACTCAACTTTCTCAAATGCTGTTGTCT